ATGTTATGTTATGTTATGTTATGTTATGTTATGTTATGTTATGTTATGTTATGTTATGTTATGTTATGTTATGTTGTGACAGTTTTTCCCTCCGGTTTCAAAAATTTGAAGGAATACTGACACATGGAAAGATGTCAGTATTCATGTTGAAAAAATCAACATCATTATATAAAGCTGCACTAAAGTGAACAATATCACCAGCTGCAGATGGCTCAAATTAATAATGAATGAAATGAAGTCACAGCACAAAACTTACAGTAACTAACAAAGAAATGAAATGAAGAAAAAACAAGCATGTCACTTTGTGTCACAGTAAATTCACTTACTGAGTCCTCTGTGGCAGGCTCTGGGCCTTGCAGCCGTCGCCCAGGTCCTGTTCACAAAAAAAAAACACAATAACATAGTATCTGATATGACATCTGTGTATTGCAATACTTTAAACGTAAACTGTTGACCTCTAATGCTTCATTTTCTGCATGCACAAGTTTATTGCGTAAATATTTTGCATATTAATCCCTAAATAAATAGAAAATCGCATTAAGTGATTTTAGTCCGGTCACACAGCAGCTAAACAAAGTCTGTCCTGTTACTACAAAACCACAAATATGTCATGCAAAAAGGCACCTGGCAAAAAAATCACATTCCTCCGTTTACAAAAACAGCAAATAAAAAGCACTGAACACGATTCATAATATTGAAATTTATTTAATTGTAGCAGATTATACAGTAATGTGCAAAAGTCTTGAGCCACCTTTCATTTCTTTACATTTTGATAGGAACATGTGAAATAGCTGCAGAGATCCATTGAAACTTGTATAAACATATATTGGAAATACAGTGTAAAAAGGAAAAAACAGATGTGTGTACAATCCTAATGCATATGAACCTCAATATTTGGGATGACCACCTTTACTCTTAAACATAGCTTGAAATATCCTATGACAGGTGTCAGAAAAACATGATGTGTTTTTGTAACAAATTGCCTAAAGAACTGATTCTTTGCTAAGTATCAAAACACTGGTTCATCTCTTGATTGGGTCCCTTTTCATAATTGAATAAGTCATAGGTCAGTGTTAAGTGGCTTTAAAAGACATGTTAAAGACAAATTAAAAGACATGCCCCTGAAAATGTTCAGATATAAAGACATAAAAATGAAAAATATAAAAAAATAGGGATGATTCAAGAGGGATCACTGTCCTTTGTCCTCTGTCCTCTATTCGTATGAAAACGACACCATGTAAAAGTAGCTCGCACTTGTGTTTTATAATCCTTTTGTTGTACGAATAAAAAAAAAACACAGAAATGATTTGCACAAAGACAAAGCATAAGACTTCCACCCAGTCTGACCCCTGGCAGTTGTTTTGAGGCTCGGAGACTCTGGAGCCGATGATTAGACTATTTAGAGTTCTTCCTGGCAATAATTCCCTCCAGGGAGCTGCTGCCTCTGTTAAGTGATCCACTGTATTGACCCACAGATTGGACTTTGCAACCTCTCAGCTTAGCCCATCAAGGCTGCCAAAAAGGGAAAGTCTGACTCCAAATTAATCAAGTTAACCAGATTATAATTATTACCTGCTCTATTCAAGTTAATTCCTTTTTAAATAAACCATTCGTTAACGTTATTTTGAGAGTTCCTTTGTTTCAGGGATGTTGTACATTTAAAACAAGGCTTGTCGAGTGGAGAATTACACAGGCATACAGTATGATTTCTGTAGTTTTATAGTATTGTTGACTAAAAAATATAAGTACTGATAAAAAAAACGTACTGTCAGTAGAACTTAAAGTTGAATAAATTAATGCTACATGGACAAACAAATCATTTTCATTGCAGGAATAACGCTGGTCTATGCGCAGCTGCTTTAGGTGTTTATTTGGGCATAGCTGATATGTTGCAGGACAAAACCTCAAAAAACACTAAACTGTGGCTAAATTTGGAGCTCAAAAAACCATAATGAAAGTGTCAACTTCATTAGTGCAAACACCGCATCGTAATTTACAAGCAAAAGTCTTATTTGAAGCAAAAACAAATTATTGTAGTAAGTTTTCTTTTAAAGCCATCAATGAAAAACAGAATGACTTAAAATAACAGAAATATGTGCAACATTTGGCCTGTGTATATGGTAGATCCATACAGTTTCTCAACTCACCATCACACTGACACCCCACCCGCTGCATTACAGTAATGTATGTCATGTGAAGAGCTCTCACAGCCTGTGTAAGTGCATTAGAAGAAAGTTCGGGCAAGAGAGTGATGGTTTAAAAACTTCTTACTGCATCAGGATGTGTTGCTGCGTCAAGGTTAAGGCTTCAAGACAGTTTAAGAGCAATGAAAAGACAATCCAGCTCAGCTTTTTTTCACGTCTGATAAAGTCATTGTGGATTCATGTGATTAGAAATAGCATAAGAGGACATTTATCAACATATATCTATTCATCTCAAAAGATTTTCTCTGTGAACTCAGTGAGTGAGCACAACACAGTCTAGACATGTTAAAAAACATAAAAATGTGAGAGTCCTTACAGCCGCCTACACCATTACCTGAAATAGCGAGTGAAAGAGAAGAATCCTTCTCATGCACTCATCAACATCCTTCTCTTTCAGACCAGGTCTGACTGGCAAAAATAGTAAAGATTTTCCCATGATGTTACAGCAAGCAGCTGACCTACCTTAAGCTGCTGTTTGCTGAACTCCTGAACGTAAACTGTGTCAGTAAGAAAAGCTCCAAACTGCTCTTAACCATTCCTGGTGTGAGTGTGGCTGCTGAAGTGGATAAAATGATTTCTTCAGCCTAAGACGGACAAAGGAGGCGGGACACTTTAAGGTCGCAGTCACACCTTTCCTCAAGTTGTGTCACTCTATATTGTTTTCCAAGAACCCCCAAGACAACTTTGGTTCAGAGATTTAACTCTTTGCATGTTACTCAGAGAAAAAAGGAGATTTTGAGAATATGTAATGCACTAACTCTATGTAGACCATTTGTACTTTAATAAACTTAATTTACGTTTCATTGCTAATCATCGAAGAGCTACGAAATAGATCCTGAAGATTAAGATTTGTTTATTGACACTGCATGATGTATACAAAAAAAATCACAATTCTGTAAATATGTAAGAGCACATTACGCAGGTAGAAATTGTAAATAAATGAATAACAGTGATAAGTATTAAACTGCAAGGTGTAAGTTCAGTTTGGTCAGAGCTGTGGGTTTAAAAAAAACTGACAAATCAGAAGAATTAGTTAAAGTAGTTAAAAGAGTTACTAAGTAGATTCTTGATAAGTTCTTATTGAGTCTTTTCTGTAAACAAACTTAAGCACAAACACATTAAAGATCCATTAATCACTGAAGCCTCTGTAAACAGATTTTTGGGTAAAGACATAAAAGAGCTCTCATTGCTGTGGCACAGCTAATTTTACGTTTTGCAGTACCTGAAGTTTCCATCTAGTGCCATCCATCATCGGGCAACCAGTTTAGGTCTGATACTTTCTGAACAGCTAATAGAAGGACTGCCTTTTAACCTTGACTGCAGTGCTAATCAACAGATGATAGCACACAAACATGTAAAACTGGGATGGTAAACAGAGGATGCTTGCTTAGCATCATCATCTAATTGTCTTTGTGAGCATCATGTGTTACACTAGAAGTAAGCTTTATACACATCCTTAACTTACATCCTTAATATACAGCCTTTAGGTGCCAGCATGGCTAGAGCCTGGTGCTGTTATTATACAGAAACACAGTGATGGTGTTGTGGAGTATTTCCGATCTGGATTTTCATCCACAGTTAAAACTGTAACTCACTGTGGATGGTGTGCGATGTGTTTGTGCATTGTACACTACGGGGGGGACTGAAATGACAGATTGATACATTCCTTGTTATTCACCACTTAAGGTGGATGTTCTTTATTCCCGCCTCTGCTACGGGCACTGCACTCTTAGAAACTCCTTTCCCACATATTCGCCGAACATTTGCAACTTAACATGTCAAAATAAAATCAGAGAGCACAGTTTTTATTTTTTGTTTGACTTATCAGAAGTTAGAGGAAAGCAAAGCCTAATGTTTCAATCTGACTTTCTATTATATTTTTCAGATTCAAAGCACCCTCCATAGATGAGTAAGCCGTTTGTGGTGCAGAACCTGCATGATTTGGTGCTGGATTTGGGTGTGGCTGATCTCTGCGGGCTCAGGCCGGCGTGTCTGCTTTCAAGCAACACTGATGTGTGAGCACTTAAACTAAATAATGCAATGCAATGGCATATAAACCTACATATTCTTGTTTATGTGGGTAAAGATTCAAATAAGATCATAAACAAAAATCTAAACTGTAGAATTGCATTGCAAATCCTAACTGCATCGTGTTGTCCTGTCCTCAGCTCATCTCTTACATAACCACCCTCTGCTCTACTTTGTGTTTCCTGTTTTAAAAGCTCCCTGAAGTCTTCACTAAACTAATATAAAGTAATACAGCTCATTATTTGTGCTCGTGGATTTGGATTCTGCTCCGTTTTTGTTTGTTTTTTTTCCTGTGCAACAGTCAGACACAAGCTCCTTTTAGTTGGAAGCAGTTTGCTGGGATCCAAATTATAATAGGATTTTAGTCAAGGGAGGGGAAAAAAGCTGAATTAGATTTTCTGCATGGATTATATTAACATGAGACTCCAAAGCGCATGCTTTCAATCTATTAATCTGCTTCAAACTTACAGCGAGTTTCGTCACAGCTCTGGAATTTGCATCCTAATCTGCCCGTGTTCCCACGACATGCTGTTAAACAAAAATAAACATGGGAACAGTCCACACATATTAAAAATGAATTTGTCCAACTCAGGCGTGATACTCCATAATGGATCAGGATCGTTCGTTTTGGCTTCCAGTGTCTTGTTGATCAGCCACTTATCCGGATAACTTCCTCCCTGTCTCTCTTTTTTTATTTCTCTCTCTCTTTGACCTTGAGCGTTGCCTGAAGTTTCTCAAAGCAAAACAAACCTCGCATCATTTTGAGGGAGATTTAATTCAGAGTAGAGATGGAAGTAAATGAGGAGAACTGTGGGAAATAGAAAGGGGGAGCAGTAATGTCATGTTTCATGCTCCTTTTTACAGCAAGCATCAGCTGAACCCTTAACTCAACATTTTTCAAGACAGTAAGGAATGTCTTCACCGTGTAATCGTGGATGTCCACTAATGAAAAACACAGATTTCCTGTTTATTATAAACACATTTTTCATAATTAGGCCGATAGAAACTTCAGATAAGCGTGCTTATCGTTTTCTCCTGACCCTGAATATCTGATCAGCCTTTTATGTTGCTGAAACTCATTACACTGTTTGACTTTTTGCAGCCTTGGTAAGAACACCTTCCCTAATTATGCTTGTAAGACACATTTTAAGAAGAAAGTCCGTGCACCAGAAAACATCCACTCAACTCAAAACACAGAATGACTCATACATGTTGCAAATGTGTAACAGGGTTATTTCCTACAAAATGTTAATTTAAAAATATTTCACATGTGCACATAAACTATATATGGTCCAAGCCCACTAACCCTGACCCAAACAAATTTATATCTGATTCATTTAAACTCCAAATGGTAACAAAGTTAGTAGGAAAAAGGATGCAAGATTAAATTATACAGAGCTGTTGGATTCATTTTTCATCACAGATATTCCTGGGAATTTTGGGCATGTTTTTTGTACACATTTCAGTGTTTGTTCGTTTTTTTATTTCAGTCTAAGTTGTCATGTTTCTATTTTTAACCCTGATTTGCTGAACTGCCACGGTAAAAATATCAGGTCTGTTTGCCTTTCAGGCTGCGCTTCAAACAGAGCAGGAGAGAAACGCAGAGCTGCCTGACATCCTCTCGATGATGACATCTTCAAACACTCCCCTGCGCTCTGCAGACACACCCAGCACTCACTGCAGGTCAGCAACACAGCTCAGCATCAGCACCAACCGCCTTACACTCGCTCACTGCCTCTCTCCATCACACGCACGCACGCAAACAAAATCTCTCCCACTGCACTACTGAACCCTGCTGCTCAATCGGCGAATTGCTCTGGGGAGAACAGGCTAAGTCATACGGAGAAAAAACAAGGGGGGGAGGAGAGCAGAGAGCGTAAAGATAACGATACCCACTCGTCCCAGAGGAGGCAGCGTGCCAGTTGGGAAAGGCCAGGTGGAAACAGTCGCACATGATGGCAGCGGGGGTGGCGGAGAGATCGGCGGAGACGAGGTCCAAGACTGGGCAGGAAGCGGGGACGGACGGAGGGATGGCGGCAGCAGTGAAGGGTTAGGCAGGTGTTGCTGCTGCTTCTTCACCCCCCGTCTTGTCCTCGTGTAGGTCAGCCAGTCGCAGCGCAGTGAGGGATGAGTTGCAGAAATAACCAGAGACAGAAGAGAGTGAGAGAGCTTCTCCTGCAGTCTCCACAGAGTGAAGGAAACTCCTTCGTCTGCCCCGTAAACATGGACCTCCAGCGCAGCACACTAACTTAATTATGGGAGGAGCTGCCCCCCTCCCTCAACAAACACACATCCACGCGCATCCCTCGGTTCTCCTTCTCCTTCTACTCCTCCTCTTCCTCTTTCTCTTTTTCCGCTGTCCTCTGGTCAGTGTGTCATTGATTGGCCTAATCTGACAAGGACCATCACGATGTTAGTTTCTGGTTCCAGCATTAACAGGGGGGGTCATACAGTTTCCAGGGAACCATAACTGAATTAAAACCCCTTTTTGTGGACAGGAAACTGTAGAGTTTAAAGCAGAACATGGTAGCATGTAGCCAAAGTCTGTCATGTTGGTCTGCCAGGCTGATAAACTGTGGATGAGAGGTCGGAACAAGCTGTAAATAGATCACAGGAGGCATTTACAGGACTGATTATTCAAGTGATAAATTCAATTAAGAATTGAATATGAGACAAATTCAATCACTAGCTGTGCAGCTGCTATTTTTTTCTTGTGATTTCTTAGTATAATATTGTGCAAAAGCACTGAGTCAAACCTCATTTCTTTATATTTTGCTTATAAGGAGACAGACTTTATTTCTTATTTTTTAAAAGTGGTCTTGAGAAATCGTTCAACCACTAGGGGTCAGGCTGAGTGGAAGTCCCAGCTGTCTGCTCAGAACATCCAAACACAAATAAATACGGAGGCTTGGTTTGTGTAGTGTGACTTTAATTGATTCAAACAACAAAGCGATTATAAAAAACGTCTAAATTTATTTCTTATATTTTCCACTGGTCTTGAGTAATAGTTCTCTGATCTTTTTCAAGGTTTTATAAATACTTTCCACTCATTTTTCACTCATCAGTTTTTGTAACTGACTATTTTCAGATTAATGTTTTGGGGATTTTTTTTTTTAATTAAGCCACTTAGCACTGACCCATGAGTCATTCGAGCATAAAAACTGGCACCTAATGGCACTCCGTGTTGTCTGGCTCACTCCTTTAGCCAGACAACTTAGCAAAGAAACAATTTTAAATTGTATCTTTAAACACTTTGTTATTTGCAGCCTGTCATAAAAACACAATTTGTTCCCATTTCTTTAGTAGAATCTGTGAAGGATATCAAAGGTAACACAGTTTTCCCAAAAAGCTATTAGCTGGAAACTTGGCATATCTTGGCATTATGTGCAGTGTGTCCTTAAAGAAACTGAGGAATCTAGAAAAACGGAGGACACCTAGAAAAACAATATAAGGAAAGAAATCCAGGAAAGCACTGACACAGGACCTGTAGTTGATCGAGCCACTGTTTACTAAAGCCTCATCAGTCTTAAAGGAAGGGAACACTGAGAAAAGGCTAAGGTATGCAAAATTATACAAGAACTGTAAATCACTGAAAACCAGTGACAACGGGTCTTATGGAGTGATAAATCCAAACTTGAAATTTTGGTGTTTGGGATCTTGTCGAAATGTATGAAATCATGAATGCAAAAAAGTATCATGCTGAAAAGAAAATGAGAAGAAATGACAAGAAAGCTGCCTAATAATAAAGCTGCTCATACCTAATATTCACTTTCATGATCGTTAGAATTTCACAAACTCTGTTTTTGCCTTTCATACTGGATTTGCATGTATATTTTCACGTTTCAATAAACTGCTGCATCTGTTTCCCATTTTTCTAGAAAATAAATAAGGATTGGCTCAAGACCTTTTCTGTATTTTATTTTTGTACAACATCGAGTCCCTAGTCAACTTATAATAATAACTAAGCACACATTCCAGAAATGATAGGAATGAGATGTGGCTCTAAGAATCTGGAATTGAAATGGAAACAAAAGCAGAGTGAAAGGAGAAAATCCTTTTTAAAACCTTATCTTGAGCCAAACTGGCAAACCTTTGAACCAGTTCTTATCAGACTGGTGATGCTATACATGCAGCGCTTATGTCCTGGTGACTACTGGAATTACACCTAATGAGGTTCATGCTTCAAAATAACTACCAATGTAAAACTTGTTCTTGGAGGATTTTGAGCATCCTCTGATTGATGTTTCTAAAATGTTTTAAGATTGAAAAATGTGAGCTCTGGAAATATAAAGCCCCCCTTTATCATTTGTCATGTTATTAATTATAAGGATGACAGTGCAAAAGCATGAGAATTACATAAATTAGGAAGGAAACTTGTTGGGTTTATCTGGGCACAAACCCCGCTGGAACACGAGACACTCAATAACTGCACGGGCTGACTTCCCTCGCGAGCCACAAAGACAAAGAGCTTTGTGGCTCGCGAGGGAAGTCAGCCCAGGCCTTCACCTGTACTTAGCCAACTTCGACTGATTCCTACGCTACAGCCCTTTTTATTGTCAGCAAGCAATCATTCATCAATATGCAATTACAAATACATGTGACATTCTTAAGCAGGCATATCTGAACAACATCAGTGTCTATATTCTGTGTGCGGGGGTGTGTGTGCAGGTGCATGTGTGTGTGTGTATTTCCAGCTATACCATACATAGACATACAACCTTTCAATGAACTTAAACTGTGTGTATGAGGTATGCAGAAAACCAGAAGTAAGCGTCTCGCTAAATGATAAGAACAGGAACTTGCAATAGGTCATGTCTCAGTCGAACATTTAATGTTGTGAAACTGCGCTTTTAGAACAGAGCAGTGTAGTTCCTAAAGCTATAATGGAAATTATAACGTCGAGGCTGCTTCCTCTCACCTCATGGTACACAAGTGCACACAGAATCTTATCAGACCTAATAAGGATATGATTTTTATCAGCATACAGATGATTATATGTTTCTAAGCATCAATGATTATATAAAAACATCTCACTCTTACAAAACTAACTGTAGTTTGAATTTTAAGTTGCTTACTTTGTCCACAGTTGCTATTAAACAACTTTGTGATGTTATGCTATCATGGCATTTTTATCGCTGGTATAATTCATTTTTTGAGGTGAAAAATGTTGGATTGGTGGCTCATAGTAGGTTGTAATAAATCACCTTAGGCTGAAGGAAAGTTTGGCATTATCACTTTTTCATACCATCTTATGTCATTAAATTTGGAAAACAATCACCAGATTAATAAATAATGAAGATGTTATTTAATGTCACTTATCCACTGTATAGAACAAATCAGATAGCAGAAACACTTCCTGGTTTTTTGCTAGTGTTGCATTGTTTTGGGGAGGGGTTGTAGCATAGGACTGATGTTCAGTTAACCATTAGAGCACGAAGTCGCACCCTGATATAGACTGAAACAGGAGTCCCTTTTGTGACTGAGATTGAGATATTACATCAGTAGAAGACACAGGTTAAGAGCTTTTTAAAATGAGGCAATTAAGACATGGCTGCTGTCCAGAAACCTTTACCCTTAGGAGAAGGAGGTTGTTGCTAATGTGGTCATATATTTTCCCAGGTAGTGCGTCAGAGGTTGACATCCCTCAATTTGCACACATCCCCTGTGTCAGCATCAGGTTTTTACGAGGACTCTTTGGACGTTTCACCTGCCTGCTGGCCAGTATCGTACAAATATGACCAAAGGACTTCTGCGTTTACCCCTTGCTTGGGTGCTTTTGTGCTTGATCGTCAACACTAAGCGACATTTGGACCTGAGAGTGAAGGTAGTGGTGCATTAGCCTTGTTGGAACAAGCAGTCAGATCAATATTACAGAAATGCAAGGCAGCACTATTGTGTGACTGGCAGTGCAGGTATCAGGTTTCTTAGGTTGTCCGGGTCCTGTGTCAGATATGTGATTTTTCATGTGCATTGCCAAAGAACTCAGCTTTACATATGTGCAAAATAGCTGAAAAGGAATAGTTTGAAAAAACAAGTAGAAAACGAAGACTGCGGTAATTTTTCCAGATCATGCTTCCAGTGTCTACAGGTCTGGATAGGCATGTCTCCTCCAGCAAAGGAACAAAGATATCAGGTATCAGGACAAATATTTTTAAGTGCAGACTTAATCTTTGCTCACTTTGAAAGCATTTACTTCACATGGCAATGAATCGATTGAGCAACAATAATTGCCATTAATTTATCCCACTTAGCACTGGTCACTAAAACTAATTTAATAGGGAAGTATCTGATACAGTTCCCCTTTCCTGATTGTAGCTTAGGTTTCTTTTTATTTCATCATTTTATCTTTTTTTTTATTCTTTAAATCTGAATCTACAGTCGAGTCAGGGCAAGTTCAGACAGAGGAATAATCTTTCTGCATCTCTTTTCTGTGTTCTTGGCTATGAGCAGCCAAAATGACACAGCATTTAGCTTTGGCTCAGGTTCAAAAAAACATTTCCAAACCTAAATCAATTTCTGGTTGCAGAGAAGATGAAAAAAAACTTCACCACAAGCTAAACAGCTGCAGTCTTCTTTGTCATTTCCAAGAAAATGAGCCCCCACATTCAGGATTATTGTCTATTTTCTAGATATGTATTAGTATACGTCTCAAGTATGCTACATGAGACATAAAGATGAGAGTCAGACCATGTCATTTTTTACATAACACATCAGGTAATCACCTTTACAATTCATCCCAATTCTTATTTTAAGCATAACATTATAATGTACAAGGGGATTCATTGATTCCTGGTCCAGCTGATTTTTTGTGTTACCTTTTTTTCAGCTGACTCCCAATATAAGGGGATCAGACCATTGTCTGGTCTGATGAATCACGGTGTTGACTTGGTCTCCGAATTCCCCAAATCTCAGTCCAAGCAAGCATCTGTGGGACGTGCTGGACAAACAAGTCTGATCCACAGAGGCTCATCTCACAACTTACAGGACTTAAAGGATCTGTTGTTAGCATCTTGGTGTTGATACCACAGCACATCTTCAGGGGTCAACAGGACAGGCAGGTTTTAGCAGCAAAAGACGGAACAATAAATTAGTCATAAATTAATCAACCATAACGCCCGGCCACTAAAACTATTTTTCCTGTTCAAGACTGCAAGTAAATGTCATTTGGTATTTTAACAGATAATAATAATGATGACTATCATTATTATTATTATTAAAATATGTGCATTACAACAATGGTTATACTTTAGCACTGAATATATTTTAGTCCTTATGCATACTGCTGGACTAATAATCACAGAAGCATAAACATGGT